AAGATAAAACTAATTTACCGCTTTAGTATGAAGTTAAATACACCTTCAACCTTCAATCCTCATAAAGTAACTGACTACTAACAGCTAGAAGGTTTCCATTTTTGGAAGACCAAGCAACGGTGGTGACACCGCTGGGCGTACGAAAGAGGCGCTCGGGAAAGTTAATTTTCTTCACACTCCAGCAGCACACCAGACCCGATTGTTGTCGATCGAATTCGAAAGCACCGTAGCCGACAGCCAAGATGTCCTTGTTTCTCGGGTTAAAAGCCAACGAGGTCACATTCCTACCCTAAAACGAAACTCGACTTATTTGAGAAACCAAAAGAGGCTGCTTATATCCGTTATTACAAACTTTGGAAGCACAATGATGCTTATCTTCCTTAAGTTGGTCTTAATTCTGAATACACAAGCAACCTATTAGACCCATAAATTGAACACAAGTTAACACAAGCATAAATCAAGGTGTCAAAGTGGAAAGCTAAATAACAGTTATTTCCTATTCCGAAAGTGCAACTACTTCTAGGCCTCTTAGTTCTACTCGCTTGTCAAAAGTTTAAGTTTTGCCGTAGCGAATGGTCTTTAATTAGTACAACTTCAAGGAAGGCAAGGAGATCATTTTCGTGAATGAAAGCAAAGAGCCGAGTTCCTCAATTCACGCTCAATGAAATTAGCACGCAATTGCATTACGGGTGACGAGATGCTATGTAACTTACAATTTAGTATCAAAACAATTCATTGGATTCCAAAAATGTGTTCAGTGTTACCCCCATAACACAACAAGACGGTAACTAACGCTTAAAACATCTTTAAAACCGTAAATGATAGCCTATCCGTCCCCTCCACCGACTTACCTTTGTGAAAGGACACCCAAACCTCCAGAGCAGCAATAGAGTGGGTGGAGTGTAGATTTTGCTGACGGACTTTAAACGCAAACTAGATACCGCCTCCCCTGCTAGTGGTTTATTAACTGTAACCTTTCTTGAAGCATTTGATGCTCGCTCTATGCCATTCTCGGTGTTGGGACCGCTAGTTCGACTGCCCTCGGTAGGAGCTCCACCACCGCTGGCCCCGCCATTGAGGATGGAAGGATCGCGGATGTCAACAGTGGCGGTGGCCTCTGGCTGTGCCGGAGCCACGAGGGACTGGCGAAGGTACGCAGTCTGGCGTGATGAAGCACGTATTCCCTCTCCTTCGATCTCTCCACCACCTAGCACTGATGGCGCCGTGCTAGCCCGATTTGACTTTATTGTGGAAGGCGAAGGCACTGCAGTTGTATCCGACTCTGACGCCTCCGAAGTGTAATGGCCCTCTTCAAATACTAAAAAAAAATGCACATAAAAAGCATCTTGAGGACAGTAAGGAAAGAAGTTAAGCTACTACAGCTTTTTTTCCTTAACTGTTCATTTGTTTACAAAAGGACACTAAGTTGCGTTTTAAAGTGAGCTAAAGCAAATCGTTCTAATCTGCGACCGGTTCTGAGGTATTGACCTGGCAAATGTTCAAAGTATTACCGTACCACGTGCGCTGGACAGCTGAAGCCAGCCATCAGTGGTAGTGATGGGACGAATATATCAGCATCAAACGGACAATGAGTGAGCCGCTGCTAGACATCCAAATTGTGGTGTAATCATAGAGCAATGGGTGTCCTATCCAAACGACCTCCGATTGACTGATGCCAACTTCAAAGGCAGTCTCATGCCTGCCAGTGACGGCATCAACTGTGATAGTTCGTTCCTGTGACTACTTGTTCAGCATTCCCTTTGTTTGTATCACCCATTTTAGAGGCAATTGCATGAAAGAAGACTCTTTCTGTGAGAACGGTGAATATGCACGATGATTAGTGTTAGGATCTTAGCGAAGCTGAAGTGCTGACACGCAATGGATGCAATGATAGCTATCTGAATTTATGGTGAGATTAAAAGGCTAAATATGAATAATTAAGACCGCTAAATAATTTCTCCAGACCAAACGTATGAGCGTAATAGACGAAATTATACAATTTTCTCAAGTTTCCATCTCATACTTTGTTAAAATTTTGTCCCTTTGCAAGCATCCACTACAGCCGTGTAAAAGCAGTCATGCATCAAATTACAAGGCACAATCTTAAAATTTCGAAACAGAAACCAAAGAGTCAGCTGCCAAGTATATTTGACTTTATCCAATCGGATCCATTCCTGATATAAAAGCAGCCTCCTTTTTAGCCGTGACACGAATTCCAAGAGCTGATAGTAATAGTTTCCCTATTTTACTACTCACGTAAATAGAGATAATGAAAATAATTATTAAAAATACAAAATTAATTCGAGACCAAAACAGACACGGAAGCTGTTGGTAGCTGAAGCGAAAAAAACAAACTCACATCTATTCAGAAGCACAGATCTGTAATGCAGATACTTCTCGTAATAGCAGTTCAAGTTTAGGGCTTTCTCCATGTTTTTCAATAAATTTAATAAGTTTTGATCCTACAGAATCGAAATTAAGGTCTTTAGCCAGGGACATCAATCTGATAAAGAACTTACAATAAGAGAACTCACATTGACATCAAGCGGTTGTGATAGCCGAGATTTACCAGGTGCCGTGATATTGTCACCAGAACCAGCTTAGTGAAAATGCCGAAACATATCAATCACAAAAGATTAGCAATGCCAAACGATAGGTTTTTGAGACATACTGTACAGTGAACTGAATTCGCCAGTGTCCACAGACATGGTGCTATCACTGTAGACGCATTCACTGGACACAGTATTTACATCACCTATGCCTTCCGAGAGCTGCAGAGGCTTGCTTTTGTCTATAAGGCTGCGCGAAATTGCCGTTGGGATGAGAGACACACGCGCTATTTGATTTTGATCCATTCGATTCTCATCTGCAGCAGTATGAGAAGTGAAAGATGATGCAGAATGCAGTTAATCCGTTTCTGAAGAAAGTTACAATTTGATGGAAATGTGTGGTTGCGACAAAACTTCGCTAAGCAAAAAAAAACAAGCGCATTATGCAAAATGTCTCAAATGATTCTATTAAAAACCGTACAGGTAATTAATTTACCTTCACTTCGAGCCTCTTGAGCCGTGTCCCACAGATCGTATACAGTGGCGTTGACAGATTTGTCAGAATGTTCGATTTCCTTAGTTTGCGACACCTTAACAATGGTGGGGTTCGGCATGGTGTTCATACCTCGCTCCACGTAGCGATCGTTGCCCAGTCGAGAAGTGCACAGCTGCAGTCGAGCAAAGTACATTAGACATTGTGGCTGGCGCAAGGGAAGGAATGAAAAGACTTACGGCTTTGTAGTCGCTGTTGCGTTGAATTTGATAGGAGGCAAATTCATCGTCACTAGGCATAAAATATGGCTGCTGATCGAAGAGCCAGTAAACTTCTGTCTCCGATACGGTTATGTGAATTTGTTCATCTAAATCAATATTCTCCGGAGTTTCTTCTTCTTCGATTTCTTTCACTGAGTAACAAAAAATGGAGTAGATTAATAAAGCCATCTCAATGAACGACAAAAAGGGGCTGCTGCTTAGGGATAATGCCAAATTAAAATCGTTTGTAGGAATCAAAAATAATCTTTGACCTTCTGTAACACTTTCATTTTTGGTAGCATGACTCTCAGACTGCTCCGAAGTTGTTTCGCTGAATGGGTTCGAAACACTTTGGAGGGATCTTGAGAAAGGTTGATTAAAGAATTGCGTCTGAGCGTTCTGAAGAATCGATGAATCCAGCGTCTGGAAATTCAGGAGAGAATATTAGTGATAATGAATTATGCGACAAACTGCACCAATTCAATCGTCGCTAACATTTTCCTTGTCCGTCTGCTGAACACGTTTCTCCTCAAAAATCATTGGAAGAGGAGTCAGATCGTTACCAAATTCATCCGTAATTCTCATTTGCTGCTCGGTAAAAAGCTTTGATACATTGTATCCAACACTGCGGTTGCTTGAAGTGTCGGGAGACACTTTATTTGGAAGAGCTGGCTTTTTTGCGATGGAGCTCATTAAAGAACTTAAGCAGAAACCAAGTCGAGTTAAGAGTTTAAATGAAGCATGTGGCGTATTGCGGCATGTCGAAAATTCGAGGCACAATAAATTAGTCTAAAAACCTGCAGAATACCGTGCATGACTAAAGTAAGAAGCACGAAACTTCAATCACTCAAATTAAAACAGTTTTAACGATCGCGTTGTGGTTATTAAAATAAAAATTAACTAAAACAATGCCAATTCCCATGGCAACTTAAAGAGCGTTAAAACTGAAGTTTTTATGTTGAACCGAAAGTTCCGCACGATACAAGTATTAGACGGTGACTAGAAAGGCAGCGAAATAACTACACAAGTTTTACAAACGGCAAAACATCTCAATATGCACTAGGAAATAAAAAAATATAAGAACTAGACACGTGTAAATTTAATCATTTTTCAAGCGTGTGCATGAAAAACGAAACTGGTGCGCATCCATTCAAATTCAATTTATGTAATAATATAGATCATAGCCAACTGGGTGGTTAATTAAGGAGCCATTCTTGCACGACTGGCACTTCGTGGGGTAATGCATAAACGCGAAGTAAATAAATAATCGAAATTGCGCCTCTTAGAAATACTACATTAGGGTAACATAACAACTCTTTTGGTGCATTGTATTTAGTATCACAAAGTAATAGCCAATGCACCCGCTGAGTGCTAAATTTCTCCCGCAAAGCGAATTCAAATAGCCTTTTTACGTTTAAAAGACGTTGACCTACATTTTGCGCAGTGATAAGATTTGGAAGGGAAGACATTTATTGCATACCTAAGTCTTACATGAATTGACTTGAACACCTTGCTTCTATTAGCAAAAGTTACGTCATTATTAGTAATACAAATAAAGGAGTCTTGAAGGTTCTTGAATTCATTCCGCATTTGTTTTATAAATCCTTCTTGAATTTTCCGAAATAGTTCAAGGACACTTGTCGCAGATTGGTGTATACAGCAAACCAAATCTTCATCTCTATTGGTTGATTATTGGCATCCTCAAGGGAGCCAATATGGCACCACGACCTCCTGCTTTGGGGCTATGTCGTGCGCTCTTTCTTTAGTTTCTCAATGTTGGGTACGCATCTTTCAGTATCATACCTTCTGGAGTTTTTAGTACATTATAATGGGCGGATGGGAGATGAACTTCAATTTTTTCTCTAAACGTGACGAAAAATAAAATATACACATGGAAGTTCGGACTCACTATCGTTACACATTCATGACGTTTTTTTGTTTGGATCTATGAATTGACTAGCACCAATAGGTGGCAATACGCATAGCTATCCTGCCTCAACTCGGGTGTTATTTCATGCTAATTTGCGCATTAAATAGCCAACTCAACTTCTTCGGTGCTGGGTCCCATTTGCAATGGTAGCCTCCCGACACAGCTCGACTGCCAAAACAGGCGCATCAGTTACGCTCACACCTGGTGGCCTCCCTCGCTTTCACTTACCTCTGCCTTCGCGAGATGAAACATGCATCTTTGCGCTGCGACCCCTCTCAAACACTGTCGGTGATCTCGTGAAAGCTATCGAAGCTGAGGATAAGGGGGTTGACCGAGTGGCTTTTCTGGGAACTAGTGCGTTTGGTCTCACTCTCTTCACTATTCTTCTTGTTCAATACATTGCGACTCTGTATAATTGATTTGTTTCTGCGTGAATCAAGATTCATTTAGAAAATTCTGTAGCGCTTACGACTTTGAGGAATTGGTGCTTATTCGCTAACATCTCAAAAATCTATATTAAACAATATTCTAATTGCTAATTTTTGATTATTTAAGGTATGAAAAGTGAGTTGTTGAGAGGGATACATTTTAACTCCTGTTGAACGCATATTTTAAAGTACGACGTTTTCTGTCGAATTTCCTACCAATTGCTTACAACCACGGTCTCATCGTTTTGTTTTTGACCCTGTGTTTTTCCTCCGCTAGCTGTGGCCAGAAGTACATTGTAAAAGCTGACGTCCATTTGTCGAATCCCGCTTTTTCCCATCCGTTAAAACATCTTTTTTTCTGATATATCGACTTTTCTTATTGAAATACTACCTTGTGCGTAGATACTGTTTCATCGTTTTTTTTCACCTTGTTCCTTCTGTAGTTTATGTCTCAAATTTTCATGGAAACTCTAAATCTATGGGCTCTTGATTGTACAAGTTAGACCTCATATAATTTTGTTTGTGAAGTAATTAAGTTTCGCACTTTATGCCACCTTAGTAAATTAATATTCTCTCCGGGAAACCGTTCCTGCAGTCATTCATGATGAAGTATTTTTCTCATTTTGCGCGATTCTTAAATTGATCCGCTGGGAAGTAGCCTTTCTAACTTGTTTTTTCCCTTCTCCAAATTGTAATGCCGATATCTGAAGTGAATTGCTGGTTATCAAGTTGTGCTCATTGTTAACTTGGCTGGGGAAGCTCTCAGTCCATAGCACCTTGACATTGTTTTTTGAGATCAGACGCTTAATAGTTAATTCGTTTGTACTAACTTGTGTTCATTGATCATCATTTTTTCAACTATACGGCATTTGACCCAGATCCTACTCGTCTTTTCAGTATTTGATGCTTCGCAGATTCTCTAATGTGCAGAATGGATGCGTTTGGTGCCCCAAATTAGCGACAATATTCAATCGCGAGCAATGATTTGCATAGGTGAGCTTCACTTAAGACTCTCGCCCGTTTCTAGGGTATCCTATGGAATTTCATAATGCTGTGGCCAACCCGATTTTGGGCTCTATTTTGGTGAAACAGTCCTACTTCCATATTAATGAATTTTCAGCAGCAAGACAGCTTTTTAACGGAAACAGCACTGCCAATGCATACTTGCGTGTTGCCTATTTTCACCGTCTCACCTCTTCGTGTGCATGCCTACCGTGTAGCCAATTAGCACAGTCTCTGAACTGCGCGCCTATTCTGTTGTTGATCCTACCTTTGGCCAATGACTGAACTTCACTTTTTAGTCTAACGAGGCCTTCTGTTGGAAGAAATTCTTGCCCTGGGATGTTTGAGGCAGCTTTTTCATAAGTCAGGCAGTCTCAATGTCACGCTGCTGATTGAACTCATCTCGGTGTCTTTGAGCATTCAGTTGCCTTTTGAAAGATTTGATTGTCCTCTGCCTTTTCATCGAAGTCCTACAGCTAGTGCTTTGCTTCCTTGCTTTCAGATCACCGACAAAAATGTTTTAACTGAAGTATATCGATGTCATTAAAATTCGCTCATGATAGAAAAGTGTGACTTGCAATTCTCCACTTTTGACAAGGTTCATTGCGGCGAATTATCACTTCAGTTTAATGGTTTTTCAAAGTAGGTGGGACTACATTTCAAATTATTTAGCACATAATTGTCTACGCGGAAAATTTGCTCACAAAATAATAGAAAGGTATAGCCGAATGAAATGTTGGTCGTATCACTTCGTGTTTGCGAAACAAACTTCGGCTTTACAGAATTCCTATTCGAAGTTTGCTTGCCCATTCATCGGGATTTGCTATTCATTCTTACTTGAACCATGGATACATCGGACGACTGTTTTCTCACAAGATTTCGTAGATTCTTTGCATTCACAAACACTTGCGTCGCGGATGTCTTCATTCCAGCACAATTAAATGATCAACTCAGTTGCTTTTCACATGCATATTTTCGTTTTTCTCATCTTTCTTCTGCTTACTCACACTTCATAGGTAGCGCCCAGAACACATAAACGGGGTATACCCTTTGGTAGTTAAGTTGTCTATGGCATCGTTTTTCGCTTTGTTTTTGAAGCTGCAATAGGGTATGCTTGTTAATCCGAAACAAATTTTAGTTAACACACGGTCACATTATCCACTTAAGTAGTGATTTATTTAGGAACTTTTCGATACCATACTTGAGAACTCAACGTATCAAGGAGTTATAGAAATTTGATACAAGCATAGTTGGGATTCATAAGTTGGAAAATGTTCTTAAGTCTTGTAAATGAAGAATGTTGACGGGCTGGGGAAGTGGACGTCTTGTGTTTACTGACCGAAACATAAAGTCCTTCACCTATCAGTGACTAGAAGTCTAAAAGCGGATGCTGGGTGAAGGAAAGGGAGATCAGTACTTAAACTGAAGAATTTTGGGTAGAGGTAGACATGATTTGTGCTGATGAGCTTATTTAATTCCAGTGCGATGCTACAGTCTCGAGTTAAGGATTTTCTTATCGTACTCATTATCAAACGTGTAACAATGCATCGTGGTACTGTAGAGCACGTACCTACATGTCAGTTGGCAATTTACATTTGGCCACACCACACTCTGAATTCAAAGGCCTTTTGCTATGCAGTGTTTTAATCGAAAACTGGTTGTGTTTGGACACTGAATGACGGAACTTTTCCAATTGGTTTCTGTGTTTATCCCATTAAGTCACACACATTAGCATCGCGACGAGTTCTTTTTTCGTAGTGTAGATCTGTTGATCTGGTAGCACAAGAAATTTGCATTCTTCAGCGATTCTGCAATTTTCGTCCATTTTAGATGGTCTACGATTCGCCAAGGCGAACAGCATTGAGATGCTACTGGCTAATGACTTTGTTGTCGAGATCAACGATAAGAAATTTCCCGTTAGTGTATCAAGTTTGGGTGAGTCCTTCAGTTTTCCAAGTCTCATGGCCCCCCACGGCCGCAGTTTTAACAATTTCTCAACTTCCTTCTCTGCAAGGCATAACTAATCCGTTTGGGTTTATTTTGTGGTGCCAAGGTGTGTGCTTTCACCGTATGTGAATGGTTATTGAATTACATTGGAACTGAGAGCTCTCTTCGCTTTTAATCTGCTACTTTCTGCCTTTGATGGCATATCAAACTGTGCAAATGCCTCATTGCTCTTGTAACCACCTATAGTTGCCTTACTGTGGTCTGCCTCAACACGCATTGTGAGTAAAAACCGGGTTCTCTTGGCCTCGAAGTTTCTATATTTGAAGCATGGTAAAATCTGCAGGCTAGACTCAATGCTTTGACAGCTTTATTTGCGTTAGTGTTCCTAAATCATACTATCCTTCAATTCTGCTTTTGCTTTAAGGGAAAATTTTATCCTGCGAAAGAAATTTCCGGACAGTGCTATTTGTTCACATTCCGTATCTTTGCTTGTGGATGAGGATGTAAATGTTAATACTGGCAGGATGTCTACTGCAATTACATTCGTCATAATTGAAAGTGGAAAGGAGAAAGTGAACGATTGTGTATAAGCTATTATTTGGCTTTTTTGGGCGTGTTGCCAGAGTAGAAGGAAAAATAATGCCTCTATCTTAAGGACCTTATTCACCATAGTACATTGTGACACTCTTGACTACTAATGGGTCGTAGCAATGTTTGGCATTCTTGATTAGCGGTACGTGGGAAACCAAAAAGACCATAGGTGCGATGCAACCTATAGAACATCTCGGTCATCTTCTACCTCAGCTGAAAAGGTCTTCCTCGAACCGTAATCAATGGCCAGAAGGAGGCAGTGCTGACGTAACAAATTCGCAGCTTATTAAAAATGTTCCTCGTTTCAACTGCCGTGGCCAATATAGTGGATATAGCTGGAATACCTGAACATTGCCTCCCTTGTAAGGCAAACTGCGTCGGAAAGGACTTTATTTGCCGAATAAACATCTGTCCGCTTTCGCTCACCATCGAGAGCATTTGCTTAAGAATGGCGTGAAATTTGTGAGTTAGGGATTTACTTCACATCAATCTCGATTTAGCTAAAGTAGGAGTTTGTAACTCTCCAACTACTTAACCTGCTAAATGGCGCTCGCTAGTTGAGAAGAATGCACAGGAATTTTTGTGCTTGTTACCGAACTGTATGCAGTGTGCAGTGTTGGTTGACAGCCCCGACGGGCCATTGTTATAGGTTTTGATAAATAAAGAACGAAATTCTCACGAAAGCACTCAATGAGAAAAATGACCTTAAAGGAGATAAGAAACTGTCGCCCTTGAGTAGGGAAGGACAGTTTGAAGACGCGCATTAACCTTATTACGGTATGAAAAACGACGAATTTGACTTGTCATTCGGTCCCACGAAAGACCAACGTTACGCTTTTGCTTCATTTACCAGAAGACCGGTAGGGACCTGCTGTGATAGGGAGTGCGGAGGCTTGTCTCCCTCTTAAAGAGATTGTGTCTTCTGGAAGCTTCGGCCAGAACTTGTCTTTCTTAGAGGGTTAGTGGAAATGGATATGATGGGGCTGCTGAAAGGGCATCCAAAGTGGTTAGCGGCCGGCAAATAGAGGAGTACTTATATATCGGCGCATTTAATTGCCCCTCTTCCTATGAAAGATTGAGGTTGGTTGCTGAGTCAACCATGGCTTCCTAACATCGGTACTGGATGAGTCTAGAAGCAGGCACAGGATGATTATAATAATTCAAGTCTCCTTAGTCATGGGCTTTTCAAGGTGTGGGAGGAGAATAAGATTGTCATAATTAAGTGCACATAGGCAACATAAATTGCATACCTTTAGATTTTGTTCGAAGGCCATGGAGGAGGTAAGAAAATTTTGGTTCGGACTTATCTGCTCAGTGGAGGTGTCAAGTTGTCTTGCCTTGTAGTGTCACTATGTCTTGAGCATTGCTGTTGAGCGAGTTTAGTGGGAATTCAGGCTGGGTGCTTGATTTGATCGAATCCCTCCTTTCCCTGTCTTGCTAGGCCTGCCCAATGATGTAGGACCGAAGGAGTTGGGGAACGTGAGGGCGCTGATCAATCGGTTGAACACCGTTCTCACCGCGGAGGACATTAATGCAGAGAAGGAGAGGGAGATTAAAAAACGCATTGCTGATGTCCAACTTCAACTCGAGCCCTTTGAGGAAGTAAGTTGCACATATCATCGTCAGTGGGCAGTACCTAAATATCCGTCACGGAACTTCATCTCAAACCAGTCATTTTTGGCTTTACGAAGGGAAATATTGCATTGCAATCGGTGGGACTTGTAGCTACATTACATTCAAAAAGTTATCGCGATAATCAACTCATACCTTTAAATCTGCTATGTAGAGAGAATTGGCAGCACAACTTGTTTCACTTCTTCGTTATTAGAACTTTCAAAAATTGTAAATGTTCTTCTTCAATGGCTGGCCTCTGGTCACCGTCCTTCTAAATGAGTCTTATCTTTGATACATTCCGTCACAGGCTGGCAATACTCCGATTGGAGACTCAGAAACGAGCAGACACTCTGCGTGCTCAATGGAACATTCATTGAATGCCTGTTGTGAGTTGAAATTGGGTAGTCAACTTCAAAATCTTCACCGGCAGGCATGCCGCCTTCATTGAATCGTCGACATGGTTCAGTTAGGAGTCTATCTGACGAGCGGGTGGGTGTGCCACTACTGAACCAACTTCCGTAAAACAATTTGTTCGGTACTTGACACATGAAGTTGTGCGTCTGGACGCACTACCACTGCCGTTTGCCAATGGCCACAGTGTGTAAGGCATTCACGAGGAAGCTATAAGACGCATCATTGTGGACGTGCAGGAAGGCAGGCAGATGCAGAGTACAAATGGTTACTCCCATTAGGCAAAACATGAACTTGTTGATGCACAGCTTTTGAAGGAAAATTATTCATTTAGGCATCACCCAGCTATGCTGATGTATTAGTTGCGTTTTAAATATGCAAAGGATCAAGGTAGTGGTGTAGTTTCACTGCCCAAACTGCTTATGCTCGAGTCTCGATGACACAACGGGAAATACTGCTGTTACCTAAAATAGAACAAACAATGGTATGCGCAACTCCTCATACACTATCTGGGTTTTCATTTCACGCCATTTGTCGAAGCTTTTCGAATTGCACAACTAAGGTCATTCACGTGAATGCTGCGGAGTCCGCTACTCTGGTTTTCTCAAGGGACTGAATGAGCAACGATGTAGGAAATAACACGAGCACATCTCTCCTTCCACTTCCATGCACGTGGGCACTCTACCTTTGATGATCCATCTCTCCAGCGTAAAGCATAAACTTGACTCCTTTTCATTCACAATCGACATATCTTTAATCATTTTAAAGTCCGTAATCTACCCAACGAGCCAAAATGTTTAGCGCCTCACCGCTCTTTCGTGAACGCGTAAAAGGCTTGACATACAGACTGTTTACACTTTGCAACACCTGGGGCTGCAATAACTGAGTTTTGTTTCCGAATTGGATGGTGACATTTGACTTTTCCTGTGTATCACACCAGCCGACGATGGTCATTCAACTATTCATTATCAACATCATCACCTTAACGAACTTGTCTTTACGTATTCCACGGTATCTTTTGGAAGGCGAAGTTTCGCTGCGCTCATACTTAAGGAATGAAGTTGAATAGCTACAGAGTTGAACGAACTTGTAATAAGAGGAAATTGAGACTGAATGTAGTTTTTGAGCGCGCATCTTCAAGTATAAATTTACCTAACCACGAATCCACCGTTGATTTGCTTACTGTTGACCGCAAGCTTACTTGCCACCGTCCCATGGGCTAGGCTTTTCACGGACGTTGAGTGCTTTCAATAATTATTGGGACAGGTGTCACTGGACTTGAAGAACTGCTTGCTGGCAGTATTCTTGTGTTTACTTAAGGCACGAATAAATGACAGAAGGGTCATTTTACAATGTGACGACTAGGCATGCGCAGATATTCATATCGTTCAAAACGCTCACGAGCCAAAGTAATCCCTTAGACAGTGGTAGTAATAAATGGTCAATATTGCCTTCTTATCTTTGTGGTGACCTTGTGAGTCAGTGAATTTGTGTTAGATCAATTTGACCCTCGCTCTGAAATTGGCTTGGAGAGCTGGCGCAATTAGCTAACACATAACTCTCATTGCATCACTGCAGCGGGAGGCATGTCAAACGCACAATCCTTGGTGGTCTTCAGCTCGCCTCAAACCATCATGGCATGAACAGTGTATTACAACTGGTGTAGGTTTTCTCACTTAGATAATGCCGAAAACGGTTAATATGGGAGACTCAGAAGTCAGTCTTGTTTATGATTAGAGGCAGTTAGACTTTGATGCGTTCCCCTTTACGCTGATGAAATCGTAAATCTACTTATGATAGAAAGGATTCTAATCTGTCGAGGCGAAAACCGGCAATCGACACGGTCCCACCGCTTTATTCCCTTCCCTCACAGAAGCGACAGGCGCTGGCAGAGATGGCTTCGACACGAACCCGACGATTGACATGGATGGCACTGGGCGCCATGGGACTCCAGTTTGGCCTACTGGCACGCCTTACGTGGTGGGAGTACTCTTGGGATATTATGGAACCTGTAACATACTTCGTTGGCTATGGTACTACTATGGCCATGTACGCCTACTTCGTCGTCACTCGACAGGTACGTACGTTTCGGTGTCAACCATTTCCAACACAGTGAAAAGTATTACGTAAATTTCATTTGACACATTTGACCACACCAGCAGTCACTAATGAAACGGACAGATTGTAAGAAGGCTGACAGGTTGATTCCATTGTGTTAATCTAATGTATTTTATTTCTCGATTAATCCCCAGGACTACTCCTTTCCGGCAGTCTTTGATCGAGAGTACCTGAAGGCCTTTTACAAGGGCGCTGCGGCTCAAGGCTTCGATGTGGAGCGCTACAACAGCCTGCGCGAGATGTTGGCTGAGCTGCAGGGTGACTTGCGCCGTCTCCGTGATCCCCTTTATGTCAACCTACCTCTCCAGCAGACTAAGTACCTTGTTAAGGAGTGTGTTCAGGAGAGTCACTAGCTCCCGTCAACTTTGTTGCTTCCATTGTTTTGCTTCTTTTTCCCTTGGTCCTCTTTCTGTTTATTCTATAAGTTTCCTTACCCGTGTGTACGAAGGAGAGATGGAACGCATGCTAAATTATGCTTCCTTTCAAGTATACATATGTGGTGATTATTATTGTGTACACTCTATCTTTTGTGGTCTTGAAGTGGCCGGCGAGAGGACTAGGCGGATTGGCTTCCAACACAATTGAATTCTGAGTGGAGATGTCTTTCAATAATAGAGCAGAAGAGGTGTTCAAGTTGAGTAAGGATTGGGGCATTTGTAACGAACAAAGTGAACAATTCATTACGGACAATTGTATTCACTTCTTATGTGAGATCTGCACATTTGCGTCAGCGTGTGTCGCTAAAGAAGGCTTGCCATAGCAAGCCAAAAAATTCTCGCACTCTTCGATGGCAGCGGGGTTCATTTCATCACCGGTACGGATAACTATTTTGATACTCACTGCGCCTCAACATCAAAACGACAAATATCCAAGCGTAAAGTCCTTGTATAAGACTGGACTGCTAGTTGGTTATGTATTGCTCATGTTGAGCGCTAAAACCTCTAGGCAGTATCGATGCGGCAGGGTGACATGTGGTCTTTAATTACTTGGGTCTGGAGGGCATTGGCCTCACTGAGTGTGTCAACATTGTTCTCCATTGGCCTTGGAGTCTCTCGTAAGTACTAACCGACCTCAGCGGGTTGCAGCCAGGCGTCATTTTTCACAGAGGAAACGCACAATCTTCTGCGTATCCACTGCTGCAGTTGCCCACCAAGTTGATTAGAGGCGTCTGGAGTGGACAAAACCCGAGTAAATTATCGCGGTTCGTGTACTGCTTTGATCGAGCGCAACACCTCTACAATTGTGAGTACGAAGGATTTATGTTGAACTAATTGGATACGATTATTTGAGCGGGCGATTTTGGTCCCGATTCAAGTGAATGGATGGGACGGATTGGAATACAAATGGAGTGCGGAATTGTGATTACTCTCAAAATACTATGCACGAACTGACATCAGACCATTTGGATTGAAATCACAAAAAGCGTCTCCAGTGGTACGACTTTTGTTTGATGCATTTTTGGTGATCCCACCATAAACTGTAGACGTCGGTGCTCCCTAGAAAGAGTCGAGTCAGTGAAGGTCTGTGAACCGGTGTTTCTACTGATGTACACCACGTGTATGGGCACAAGTGCACAGGAATGCTAGCAGTCTAAAGCACGCCAGAACATTTCCAAATTTCTTCTCCTCAAACTTCGTCTTCATGCCGTGTTGTCTATTCAAGCGCAAAATTAACTGATTCCTCAAATTTTTCAAGCTTGCGGCATTTTTTACAAGCAAAGCATCAAAATAAATAACGTTTTGCTGGTTTTTGGCTCTCACCCGATTTGTTATAGCCAAAAATGCTGATGACTGATTGGCTAGCGAAAGGAGGTTGTTGTACTGCTAAGAGGGTTTGAGCCACACATGTTCAACAAAGCAGCTTTACAATTACTAACAAATCTCCGGGAGGAAACCGAGACAGGCATAAGTGATGTAAAAATGTATAAAAGGCGAGTGAATGCATGGTGAGTTGTACTTCACTAAGCTGTCATCGTTGCCCTGAGATGCTGGTGTTTATAATTGAGCCACAACAATGGTATTTACTTCTGGACTTTGATAGCAAGAGGAAAGCCGTTGATATAACCAAAGATTTACACATTTGCTTTCTAAGTCCAAAACTTGATGACGATTTCCTTCACAAAACTCCCCCATGGTGTGTTTGCCTACTTTGACAGTGAAGGCATTGCAGCTTAAGCTTCCATTTCGGCGTATACGACATATCAGTTCATAATGAGCAGGTCTTCTTTCATGTTGATGTGTCTTGCTGCATCCTTAGGAGGGAGAGGGTACGTTAAGCGGCCATTGTGTAGACAACTAAAATAATTCTGTCGCATGGTTTGGAATATGATTGCTACTGAAATAATTTAAATAAAATATTTTTCTTTAACAAATTTGTATTTTACAAACATCCGGATGGCGTAAGGATGTGTTTTTTATTTACTAGACCTTTCACAGGCCCTTGAAACCTCTCTCCCCCCTAGCACCCTTTGGTATGAGGTACAGCTATAAAAAGGGGTGCAGAATAAGACGGTGGAATTCCATTCCATTTAAAGGCACTAAAAATGGCCTTACAACGTTGTCTCTTCTTATGATGGTTGATTTGCTTCATAATATTTTTACTTCCTCTTGAAGCAGCCTCTATTAGAACAGGTGTGGAGAGTTGCTGCTCTATTATAACTGACCTCCTTGACATGTTCAGTGGTCAAGTAAAGTGCGTTATTCTCGGCACGCCCAATTCATCATGCGGGATGAAACTATTTATGTTCAGTAAATTTGGTGCTCAAGGAAATATTGACTTGATTTACCATTGCAAACTGTTCTCCTAGGCTATCCGGCTAATCTACTCCTAATGTGGCTTAGTTATGGTTGACATTGCTCTCTACTTTGTTGATTGGCCATTAGCAATAGACGACTCCAAAGCTAGACTCTTCATCATTAGCACAGTCACACACAGAGTCAAAAACATTGTTAACCTTCTGTCATCAGATGAGAGTGGGCGTAAAACCTCATTTGATTGTTTTTAAATGGATGATCACTACTTTCAAGAATATTTCAAAATGCTCAAACAGTTCTGCGATGGAAACTGAAATTGTGTTTCGCAGTAGCTTACCTCGAATAGCTAAACCAAACACCGATATTTCACTTACATGTTCTAACTTAGAATCTAAGTACAAATAAAGGCCCTTGACTCTTTAGGAAGCGTTATTTTGTAGCACCAACCACCAAACGCTTTTGCATGAGGAGGAGGGCTGCTGTTCCTACTGTAAAAATAGGTTGGAGAGTTAAGGATGCATTGCGTGTATAACATTCACCCACACGTTGTATGAAACTGTGAGGTACCTGAAGAATGATAACAAAGGTGAATGACACACTCAGCTACTTATATTGTACGAGTAGCATCCGCCGCCATTTCATGGACGTGGACAAGGTGACAGAGAGGGTGGTGAGAGAACAGCCAAAGGCGCAGTTATAGAGGCAGAGACACGGCCTGTTACTGTGTGAAGGGAACCCGAACTCACCGGACACAAGGGACTTCCTGTGGCAGATAAACACGCGAAGTTGCAATCCCACTTTCCTTCGGCGTTCTTCACGCATCTAGTGTGACAAAATCAAAGCGCATTAGGACGTTGATTTTGATGTTTTGTACAACTCTTCATGTAATTCTGCAGGCAGCAGGACTTTCTGGTGGTACCTTTATTCTCCAAGATATACAGAGCATTGGTCGCATATCCTCCTTCATACTGTCATGATTTAACACATTTTCAGTGCTTCTTGGCGTATGCACAGTCTCACTGCTGTGTTGACATCACAATAACTCATCAGCAAATGCACAGGCTGGTGGTTTCGGTAAAGTCGAAATCGATGCTGTCTACCTCAGTGTACTTTGTCCTCTCTCCAAAAATGTGTTCTGGATGTATGCATTCATAATCCATTGGTTTCCATTACCGTAGACAGGTAACGAACTTACAGTAGACACAGTAAAACCATGCAAAGATGGATGGAAGTAGACAGCCAAAGCATTTTACTAGGGTAACTTTTAGCCAGTCCAATCATATCAACTACCTGCACATCATCAGAGACAAGTGGAGCCTCTTAGATCAGTTCGATTAAACTTAATTTCACCAGAACTTCGTTTGTTTTAATCAGCAATCCTAATTTATGGACTGTCCGGTTTCAACACACGCCATTATTATGGCGTGAAGTTCAATGCGTGACGGTCTGCTTAGCACACCATACGCTTCGCAGCTAATAAAGAAGCCCTATCCGCACCAACGCCTACAGACTGCCCGAGGAAGCTGGAATGTCGCCTAGTAATCGCAGCAAGTATTTAAATGGTTTCCACAGCTTTGTTAGCTACTATTTTGTTGTAGAGTTCCAGTTATGCGAAAGGTGTCTCATGTTTATAAATAGAGGATGAGCTTACTTGTAGGCGGGGAGGGCCAAGGGTGGCTTTTGTTTGCTGAAAGAGGAATGAGAGAGAAACATTAATACAATAAGTAAAAATTGGGTGACCAAAGCGGTCACGATAGTTTTAGTGCTAATATTAGCAAAAACTTAATGAATTTTGAGGCCTAAAAATGTATTGTAAGGCATGAATACATATCAGTAGGTTAGTATGGTACATGTCGCTCGGGCTCACTCATTTCACTCTCTCTTCAGCATTACGACTCTAATTTGTCAGCTCTACTAACCGAAATTAACTTGTCTCCTCATTTGGGCTGCATAGTTAATAGAGTTGGTTTATGTGTTATGAGTCCCTTTAGAACAATGTCACGCTCCCAGGAGCGAGGAGTGCCACTTGAGATGCATCTACTCGACGAACCTTGACTGCGTAAAAGGGAATCCTCTTAAGAAGCGGCCGTGAGTAGCGTATCACTAAGAAGGAGGCAATTTGCCTAATCAAGGAAACTCGAGATGACATATCTACGTGGCAAGGGTGTGTGGAAAGGTTTGCTTTAGGAGAATAGAGAGGAAGGGGGCATTTTTCGCCCCGAGTGATTACAATCTTTCATTGATGCAGTGCAATTAGAATGAGGAAAAAAGTGGACACCTGATGCACAAGTGTGAGATAAAAGCATGGGAATATTTTGCTTTAGTAAGTGGCCTTACAATCCTGCGCCCTGTTACCAACGCAATGCCTGCATTTTCTAGGTTTATGTGAAACCCTGCCTTAAGGAGGCAGGAAGGCAATAATTTTATGCGAACGCGACGACTTGCCCGGCATCACCACGGCACAGGTAGTCCCGTATCTGATCGGTGGCGTTGCGCACTCTGAAGAAGCTCACAGTGTCAAATTATGCAACACATTTAAGGACACAAACTAAGTCCAAAATAGGATATTGTGCAAATAAAAACATGAAAATGGTATCATGCGGGAGGTGGTAACTTTGGAGAGGCACCAAACTTTGACTTACGCCAAATCCCAATCAGTACAGCTGAAAGAAAAAGAGAAGAACTTTCAGCTCGAGAAAACAGGAACAAAACAATTATGCAAACTATTTATGGCAGAGTTTTGTAAAACTCTCCAAACGAGGCGTCACTTGGGCACATCTTGTGGTGTCATCTATTTTTTATCAAAACTCGACGATTAAACCATAGCTCATCTTTTAATTGATGTTGTGCTCCTTTGAGCACGAAAGGCAAAATCAAGGCTCCATAGGAAACGCAGTTTGGGTTAGCCTTTCGTTGAAATTTCCGTTTATTTTGCTCAGTGAGGCGATAGAAGTCAATTTAAGCGTCCGTTGCTGATTGGTTTCCTGTCTTTTCACTTCACGTGGGTTGGGAGAAGTCGTGTGAACAGCTGAGGAGTTGAAAAGGTTGGATTTGCAGTCATGCCAAGATGGCGCTAATTTGCCGCAATTCAATTGGTCGAGTGACGTCGAGGAAACATTTTACACTGCAAACAGAGATAGCCGGACAAAGACGCCTTTTGTGATACTATTGACATAGCAAAAGCCTTTGAATCGCTTTCAGGCCCAAGGAAACACAAAGAAGGCTCCAAAGGCAACTCACACTTCAGGTCCTTTCAAGTTCGGAGAAGGTGATGGAGACCTGAAAATCAGGAAGGAGTGATCACCGACCCTCACCTTTATGGCTAATCTTCTTAAGTAGAACGAAACCACTGTGGGTGATACATCTTTGCAAATGTACTCCTCAAACCACCTAACTCTCACATTTATTGTTATTGCTTGGAATCAAGCTGACTGATGTGATTCCCATGCATTAAAAGCAAAAATAGCCCTTGCGTATACAACGTTGACCAGTGGATTATGCATGAGAGGATAGCTGAGAACAGAAGCCATCCGTCACTTTGAGAAAGCTACCACTTTAATGACTGATAAATGGATTGCAATGCTGGAGCGCTGTGGCCTCAGTGCCTCCACTCACGCTCCAGTGGCATTAGCATCACCTCACCTCCTTTATGCCTTGAATTTGAGAACGTCGGAGGACGCACCGACGTTCTGGCAATTAGCACCAGGAAAGGCAAACCAGAATTTGTAGCTGCGCGGGTATCTTGATGGCATAGTCAATTCACGAGCACCTCTCACCTCACCAAACAACATTTGCTTACTACTATGGAGGATTACCACCCATTTCCAAAGGGGGACTGGGAAAACTTTTCGCTCTTAATCACCACCGGGAACGAGAAAAAGCAGGCTTTTCTGTGCCAACATACTTCAGGGGCAACATTCAAAGTGGAGCAAGTGTGCATAAATGTTTTGAACTGCCACGCTGTAAAGTAAATGCAAATTGGACTTCTGGAAATGCTTTTTTGTAACGGGCAAAACCAGAGACCCAGGCTAGGCAACAACATTTTTATGTGTGTCGAAGGCAAAGCAAAGAAGTAATAAACACACCCAACCATTGTCAAGTTCTTCTCATCGTCATCGATTTCCGGACTTTTTTCACGGGCCAAAATCTTCTTTCCAAAACTGACGCCTACTTTTGCGGCGTGACGGAAGGTGCCGAAGCCCTGAGAAAGAAGGATGGCATAGGACTCGAGTACCTCAAACATAGTAACCCCAGAGAGACCGAGGAAGAGACCAAAGATCCCCCCAAGAGCAGCAAGAAGGTTGAAGAAGGAGGCCGCTTCACCTTCAGAGTGAATTGCGATGCGAGAGTTCTCTGCTGCCACGCTTATCACAAGATAGTCTGTTTTGGCTAAGCCTCTGGTAGCTGCGGTCGATGTATTAGTGTTGGTGGTGTTTGAACTGCTGATCCTCGCCAACAGTTCGCTCGGTAGCCCCTCCTCTAGCGCCAGTACCTGTTGGTGAGAGATCTCGTTCACGCGCTCCACACAGGGCTGTGGACACAGCCAAAAGTGACGAGTTTGTGGCTTTAGCTTCACCAGAACAACGCGGTACCATCGTTTGGGAATGGAGGCCTCCAATATCTAAAAAACATTAGCTACAAGTTAACCAAAATGCCCAATACTTCATTCCTTTTGTACTTCCAAGACCATTATGCAAAACCAAGTCGTAGACCAAGTTAAGGTTTGCGAACAATGTGAGTAAAGAATGTAAAATTTGTGCACAAAGTTGTCTTCGTTGAGCCGTTTTAAAAAAAAATCATCGACAAAGAGAGCACTGCGTAGTTTTAAATCAAAATGTAAAAAATTGAGGCAGTGGCGACAAAAGGCCTTGGTGGAGCAGTTATAATCATTACATTGTACCTGCGGGAAGTGAGGACTAGCACAATGGCCAAAGAGGTGCCATCAACTGACACAGGATGTGGTAAAAGCTGTAGCCCAGGCAACACGTCCCATTTGGGCGGCTCTTTATGCAGGCGATAGAGCCACACCCATCGCTTGAAACAATGACGAGTTTTGCAGAGCGCCACCCTGTATGACTTATTTTCACTTCAAGTTACTAACTCAGTCATTTAATAAACAGACTTTGGCTTCCAGAGGACTGGTTTTGGCGTAAACGCATGAACGAGTTTTTTACCCAACAAGCGGAAAAGTGGTGCAGAGAAGCGCGCATCACCCAAACCTTGCAAGCCTTGAGCGCGAAGTTCCCTTCATAAACGAATGTGGACACAGGTGCACTGAAACTTTCGAAATCTCACCTTCAAATGCAGCATTTGCATCACCTTTGAAATAGTTAGATTAAAAGCCTATGTCTTGTTTCCTAAAAACCCAAGTTTACGAATTCCATTGGGATGGCGTGAGCCCAAATTTACCCTCCCATTCGTCCAGTTGTTGTTGTCCGAAGTGACAAGCTAGTGGCGTGTAGCACGTGTTCCCCTAGCTGACAACCGACGAGTTCCAAGTCGCCTTGAGATTGCCTTCATTAGCAATGCTTTGACCAGCGACATTCCACTCTATGTTTCCAACCCCTAAACAAATCATTCCATTTCAAAAATTTGTAAGTCTGATTTGACAGGAAGAGAGCCTATTATGCAAGAATTATGGCACAACGGCTAAACTCATTGAAGGAATCGGTGAGGACAGTGGAAGGTCGAAATGTGAGTCTAAAATACTGCATTTGTCCCTACATTTTAGTGTGCCTAATAGCACATTCTCGAATGCACTTATGTGAAGAGATTGAGGACAAAATGTTGACTAAAATTACTTCCACTTCTTTAGGCGCGTTTTTTTGTATTCCACAGACGGCAACTTGTACACCAATTTTCCCATACGATGAGGCCTTTATTTGAATAATGGCGTCTGCAAGGAACAAGCTCCAGTTCCACCTCTTGTGCTGCATGTCCTGCTTTTCTTCCGCTTGGTCGCACGTTTTAAGCGCCAGCGGCACCTGATGGAGTCACGTCGATGGTGTTGATTTTGGCAGAAGTAAACGTAAATTTGTGTTTAAGGGTGGGAGACAATGATAAATGAGGAGTGGCGTCCACCGTCGAAGTGGAAGGAGCTAAAAGGTGCGAAGTGCCCCAACCTCTCTTGGTGACACGGTTCTTTGACAGGTAATACTTTAGTGATGATGGACTTTCTGAAGCACATCCTCATCTCAGGCAGCCATTAAATGGGGATTTCAGATGGTGACTTCATTTCAAACAGAAGCTCGCATCTTTTAAAAGGGGTAAGTTAATAAGCTCCTAGCATTGCCTTCAAAAGCACAAAAAACAACCATAAAATTGTTTCGTGATATTTAGCACTTACTTAATTGCAAAGGAAGATGTACGTGATTCCTCGCCCAAGGTGTGACCAACTAGACCCAGAGGTGATAACTAAGGGGGCTACTACTAACTTACCCATTCAAGAGGAAAGCACGCTATGGCTTTTACCAAAACGGTCACAACTGTGGTAGGGAGCGATGGAGAGATGAGAGCCCCCAAGCCATACACTTTATCTGCAATCCGACCCACCGACCTCCACCATCTATTCGGGAGACAATCAAGATAAAGAGGGTCCTTCATTTCCACAGTGTTATGCTGGTGGCATCGGCTGCAACAACCAAGGCATCTTTGATGATAAAACCAATGTTCTAATGGCTAAATATAACAGGCGCCTGTCTTGGCAGATTATTCTGTGCGATAAGGAAGAGAAGAGACAGAACGTTTTGGAATGGCTCGTACCTCATGGTTGGTTCCAAGTTATTGGTTAAACACTGGCTTTTGTCTGTTTGCACAACAGAGTGAATCTGCGGAAAATTGCTTGCCCTTCCCTGCCAAAAGCTTAAATTAACACCAGATTAATGGAAATCGGAAGGGACTAGGCACTCACGTCCTCATCCGACATTCGCATAACATCGTCGTGACAGGCTACAACGGCGGATTTATTGTCACGACTGACATCGTGACAAAAACCTTGATTTGCAAGGTTACCGGCGAGGTAGAGAGGCACCATGGAGCTCTCTGAGAGACAGCCGCAGCGTCGCTGCATCACCGACTGCCGTAGTGCTGCTAAACAGTTTTGTCGTGTGTACTCCACTGAGATGGCGTGTCGTTTCTGCTCCTTCACAAAGACTCCCACGTCGAGGTAGAGGATGGGGTGGATGTTCTTCTTGCAGGGCCGAAAATACGTGTCTAGACGATCTAAGATCTGTAAAATGCAAAAAGTAAAAAGGTCGATGTCTCAGACCCTCTAGATAACCAAAAAAGGGTTGCATGCATTCCACATCCTTCGATGCACTTGTCGTAAATGTCATTTTACATTTTTTGGGTAATTTTCGAATCACTGTTTGCTGTAAAATTTTTGATTTTGGGGCTTGATTCATTCAGATGTGCAAAAATGAATAATTTTATATCATTAGTAAATGGCTCATCAAAACCCACGATTGACACTTTGCGCAACTTGTAAGCATAATGCAATTGCCCTTCATCAACGTTGCCTGGCTTAGAACTCAAAAGGACGCAAAAGCTCTGCTAAGCACTGAGTTGCGTCACAATCGTAATAGAAGTTGAAAATTTGAGCCTACGTAGGACCACTTTGATGGAGGCGATCCTTCAAAGACCTGCCCATTTGATGACCCTATTTGAGTTGAGTGTTAAAGGATCTGAGCCTGGCAAACCTCCAAGTGTCTCTGCTCGTTTGTGCTCCAATGCACCAACTCATGCCGAGTTGGGCGATTGAAGTTCGGCTCATGCAAATGCACAGGAGCAGCGTTTTTGGAGGCCTTTTTAGTCTTTTAGATCGTACTGCGGCATTAAAAGCTGCGAATGTCCAGCATCCTCGGGTCCTAGTGTTAGTACGCGCTAAAGTTAATCTCTTGCACGATTTTGTGACCTCGTGCGTCTGGTCATTTCTGCTTCAAAATAGAGGTCAGCGAGTTGGCGACCGTAGGCATGAAACAGCAAGTGAAGAAGTAAAGGACAGTGCAAAACTTGAATACAAGGGAATCCGACCACACCTGCAGACGATCTGGTGATGAATTCGCTTCGATGCCCACTAGTGAAGGATTTATTTAGTCGGTTAAACGAGACTACTTGTGCGTAGTGTGGGTGAACTCTGGAGCGCCAACTGGTTGCTCACAAGACCAACCCATTTGGCGGGAGTAGTGAATACAGTGCCGTCATTCTCCAAAAATGTGCATTTATGATTGCTACTAATATGATACTGAACAGCAGAACAGCTTGTTGTACCACAGACCGCTACAGCCACACTGCTAACAAAATGTGACCACAAATTAAAAAAAGAAAAGCGAATGCAAATCACAGCTTTTAAACTCACAAACTGATTGACAGTGGCGACTAAATGCTGTCCGAAACGCACCGACGTGCGCACCACGGAGCGCGCATCGCCAGTAGAGGCAACATCGGCTGCAGAGAGCACAGACCGGTCTCTCTCGGCGACATCGTGCAGCAGCACCTGAAAACCGTCCATTTCCGCGGCCACAATCGCATCCACCGAATTCGCTGGACCTAAGTGATCTTCCCAGCCCTTGAGTAGGTCAAAAAAGCATCCGCTAAATTACATCCGATTAATGCTCAATACATTTGTTCATGCTTTGGACATGAATTAATAGCAGAGGTAGAAGCAAATCGAAATCCATTTTTTATTTTTTAGCGATTAGTGTCGCATAGCGTCTCTTAACACTGCCTATGCTGCCATTTGCTTAGTTCTTCTCCGTGTTGATGTTATTTCTTGGGTCGCTTTCGGGATTGTAACAGTACTCAAACCTAAGCAACTCATGCAAGCAGTATCAACACATTCCTACACTTCGTTACTACCGTTTTTTTAGACAATCCACACTAAGGATATTTTAAAGGCAGGACAGAGGTGTTGGGAGGCGACGAACCTGATAGATGCTAGCGTCCGCGTCTGCGTAGAGAAGCGCAGGATGGGTATGCCCTTGTTGATAGGGTCTCTTGAGAATGAGATGGAGGCCTGCTCTCGAACCCGATCGCTTGACGCTCGTCATCCCCATACGAATCTGTCATAGTAATTGGGAAAATGCAGTGGAAATGTCCTCTTTGGTGGTATCCATGCTAAGTATTCCATGGGAGCACAAAGCCCTAACGAGGTGTATCACATGGCTCACTCCACACCGCCTTCGTCACTATCGTCCTTGAGGCCATCGCCATTTCTACCAATCCGCCTTCACCATCGTTGAAGAAGTCAACTCACTCAGGAAAGGTCGACATACCCAGTCTGCCACTCAAATGAACCGCCGTTTAACATAATGTTCCCTTGCTAGAGAGTCTTACCTCCAACATTAGCCGAATCCTAGAATAATTATTTTTAGTTCAGTGGCAAATTCGATCCAAGACTACTTTCTAACGACATTGATTCCTTATAACCGTCGCAAAATGACGAAACTATCAGTTGTCGCAAGGCGAAAATGTTCGTTCTCTTACTTGGAAGCATTGGTACTTTGCTGTGGTGATAATTCTAACAGGAGACTCCCTTGGCCAAACCGTTTGAGTGGAGATACGTTTGACAGTCTTTAGACTCTCTGTGATATTTCCCTCTGCATCCTCGTAGCCATAAATGCGACCTGGGTCGAGAGTCCAGTGGGAATTACCAACGTAGACACCAGCACTGTCTGCATTCATCTCTCCACTCTCACCTCCACCCGCTCCCATGAGTTCTACGCTGATACCGTTCACAGGAAGCTCTGGACAGGAAAGGCCATTGTATTGGCAGGCCACGAAGTAGTGATTCCAAGGTACATGCAAAGTAGAAGTTTGCATGTAGGTACGAAAGAAGGAATACTTGGTGCGCTGACGCCATTGTCCCTCGTATTGAGGCCACTTTTGGGGATTAAGAGTTGAGGTGTTCGGGGACTCTTTCATCCAAAGTCCAGCAATTTTTGTGTACCTCAAGAGGCAAAATTGACAGGACTCGACTTTTCGTAGAAATGTGGCAATACTTTCTTTTCTAGAAAAACTAAACTTGAATTGATCAAATCATTTAAGAATATGTGTTAAATGTCTTGCTCTTCAACTTTATCCAGTGAAGTCAAGCAATGTTTACTAATCGAGCTTCAAATAAAGTCCTGCCATCGCTTTCATAACATCATCATATCCACTACAGACTTAACCAATTTAATTGCTCTTCGAAAGCCAAACAAGGTGAGCTTCCTCAGATCGAGATCCTGCTGTACCTTTTCATCATTCTAAGGTTAGCCTGTTTGCCTACAACACAGAGTTGTCATAACTTGATGAAGGCACACGTACACATCCTCGAAGCTGGTAGCAAAGATGATTCGCATCAACTTATAGAGAAGGTATTAAAATCCTTAGCGTCAAAAAGGAGATTTAATGCGAAAACTCCCCTAATCAGGAGAAATGACGTGCTTTGAATACTTCTAAGATGAGTTCTAACGGCAGTCAGAAGTGATACGGACACAGTTCTGTTTGATCCGATCAAATGAATGCTCGACCCCAGTGAACCATCATAGATTGTGGTTTGGAAGGGGTTACAAATCAGTAAATTAACTCACTCATGAAATGCGCCTCCTTCAGCTTCAAGTTGGTTCATAGTGAAAGGACTGTCGGGACAGACAGTAATAGCGGGGAAGCGAAACTCCTCCACGTCTCTATCAATTACAGTTGTGACTGACATATTGAGGAATCCAAGGACCATTTTTCCACAACAAATCCAACACAAAGCGGTCATGATACATAAAAGAATAAAGACAAAAACTCGACGCCAGTCAGCCGGTGTTTCCATGAGCACATCCACCCCATGAAAGGTGCTACGCTCACCCCAGGCCCTCAACCTTTCTCTAACCGTTTCAAATCGTTGCTGATCCTTCTCTGCACGACTCACTGCGTGTGCGCCACCTTCACTGCCTATGTCATCATGCTTTTGCTTGCAACATCTTTTGTAAGAGCAGCACTTTTTGAATGCACTGCTATTCGAGTACCTGTCATCGCAATTATTCTCATCTTTTCCGAACTTTTTGAAGAAGTCTTTTGTTCTGATATCGGCAGAGGCCTCCTTCGAAGTGCTCGATACACTGGAACCCACATCGCCATCACTAAAATACAGTTTGCTCGATTTTCCACCACTGGCTCTCTTTTTTGATCCAATTTTAGGCACGAGAGTCGAGCTGCACGTTGAAGTGCCTCCACTTGGCCCCTGATTTTGATTGCTTTCATCTACACTGCCCTCTGATGTTGTTCCTCCTGTCACCTCGGAGCTGATAATTTTACTTCGTCGCCCCAACTTACGGTAAAAGCAAGTCGTGCTGGTGGTGTTGGTGATGGTGGAATCGACGCTTGAGGGCGTGGAGGAGGAATTCGACTCACCGTCGCTGTGGTAATTGACATCCCTCACATATCCCACGCGGCGCTTTGCCGCTCGCGGCATTTTTACTCCTCAACAGAGGGGAAAATAGATGTGACCTCTTTGACAGATAAATGACAGGGTATCCAATGTCTAGCCGAAACCGTAATTTTCTACCCAACACGTCACAACTTAAATGCTTTAACGTTTCAATGTGATCTCAAGTGGCACCAATTTATTTTGACTGACTCCAAATGCTGCTGCTGCTGCTGCCGCCAAAAAAAATAGTAAAATGCAGTCATCCTAGAGCACAAGTATTTCGAGCCACTTTGTTTGAATTTCAAAATAGTATGTTTGGCACGCGATGCGATGCTGGTGAAGTTATCACATGTGCGCATTTCTGGCAGGACCGCTGCTTTAACTCTTCGGGTAGGCAAAAACAAATTTAAAGGGGATTAAACTATAAAGTAATAAACCTCTATCCTAATTGTAATAGTGCTTAAGATTTGAGAATGGGAAACAGACAACACTTGTGTAAATTAGTTGTTGACTTAACGCTTGGGTGTTCTTCCATCGTTCTGTCGAAGGCTGAGTGACCTCTAAGCAATTGCAGTAGTTTATTTCATAATCTGCGTTCCTTCATCCTCAGGAATGTCCTTGGAACTCCACAGCACGACCACCCGAGGTGATAGCTAAAGAAAACTTACGCTACTTGTAACGAGATATAGCTCAGGATCTTGGAAAAACAGCTCTTCCTAGGAACTAAAAGTTTCCAAAGACAAGTGGATCCGTTTGATAGCACTCAAGTTACTCACAGTTCGGCTCCTCTCAACGCCTTGGGTATTTTGTGGGCACATACCAAAACCAGAACATCGAACTGGCTCCAACATCATCCGTTGGGGAGGGAGAGACTTGGAATCGAGAACTTGTCACCACCACCGTCAACGTTACTTTACAGCATATTCATCACAAGGCTTACAAATTTGTACAACCACTGTCTTCGGTGAGTAGGAGCAGCTCAACGACAAATCAGAAGAGAGCCAACAACTTTACCCGTTTGCAATGCATAAATCCGGGATAAGACAGTTAAAAGAAGTTATTTTGGCTTTAAAAATAAAGCTCCACAGCGTCCCGTAAGCATACAAACCCCGCACATACAAATGAAATCGTATTCATGTCAGAAAGAAAAGCCAGTGAGGGTAAGAGATTGAAAGAGAGCAGAAGAGAGCGCCTCCGAGATATACACCTGCGAACACGACCACTCCTTGACGTCAAACAAAGATAATTTTCCCTTGTAGGAGTGATTAGAGACGCAAGCATGTGAGTAGGGAGGGCCGAAAGGTGAAATAAGCTACTAGAACGAACGTTTCGAGGTGGCAGTTGCAGCATCATCAGCAGTGTTTGCAGAAAATATGTACACGGTAGAGGTGGATAATGCAAAAGTGTGGATGGCGATAGGAGTAATGGAGGAGAGGAAAAGTAACCAAAGAGGGGAGCTGATGCATCCTCACGCGAGGTATTTGTACACTTTTCGGTCGGTCTCGGAACGCGCGATGAACTCACGGTCGATGAGAGCCTCAATGCGCTGCTTGATGGCCAGCGGAGTAGGGCGGAAGCGCGACTTGAGGTGCTCCATAACTTCAGCCAGCAACTGGTTGTGCTCCATAGTCTTGCGCATCTTCATCACCCTCACTATGGTCGCCTCGATCACATACCGACGGTTCTCATCCACTCGCGTTCGCGTCTCTTGACGCTCTGGCTCGCTTTCGCGTACCGACATATTCTGCACCTACAACGAGACACAACTTGGTGCTATAAGCATGAAGAGCTATCTACAAGCACCAAGGCCTAGCAGCGTTTGGTAACAAAGTGCCAACTAAACATCCAAAAATAAATTTTGTTATGAACAGCGAAAACGTGACCTTATTACGGGGCAAGGTCTAAGGTAATCACCTATCAATGGTAAAACTTTATTCAGAGATCTCAAAAAGTTGTTTGGCCTTTAATTACATACCTCTGTTTGATGGGAGAAGGATCTTACCGTACCGTACATCCACCTTATCCTCGTAGACTCCAATAAAGGCTGTTTTTACTCTCTAGCTAAGGAATCCAGTGAAGGCAAATCACGTTATGTAAAACGACATGAAGACCACCGTGTTCTGATTATTTTTGATGGAAGAGACAAGATGTCTAAGCAACAGCTTACAACGAATTTTAGCCTCATTACTTACTTGACATTCTTTTAAACTGATATGCCAATCTAACTTTTAATAATCTCCATTTCGATTCTCTGCTTACAGCACTATTAACAATAATTACCTCCGCACTGCAGGAGTCCACTTCCAAAACTCATTTTACTGAAGAATCCCAATTCCCTAGAAATTAAATGCCAGAAATCCGCTGATCCTCACACACTTTAATGCATTCTTTAATGTCTCCCACTCTCTAATTACAAATTCTTGTTATCAAAGGCAAACTTTTGCATGGAAACCCTGCCTAGCAAGCAAACTTATGGTAAGGCTCATCCTACCGCAAAAACCGCCTAAGAATTACGAAGCAACCTCTGCAGTCTCTCCATCTCTACAATTTTCCACTAAATCCAAACTCTTATCCATGTTCTTTTCATTTTAAGAACAAATTTAGTTGTTGCTTTCAATTCTCGGGTATGTACGGCGCATTTGACTCCATTATTAATTTATGACGGTAGTGCTACGTTGTTGTGTTCATTTACATTGTAAGGAGGATGAGGGCAGCAACTCTTCAAAGAAGGCCTATAGACAGGCTATCGATTGCGAAGGGTGACTATAGTAAAGGAGTACACTGAAAGATGTGTTTGCAAGGCTAAGGATGTAGTGAGAACAAATAAAATGCGTCCCACTTCTACTCCATTGGATGTACCACATAAACAATTCTGTTGATGAAAAGACGTCAACAAATTTACCTAACCTTCAGCACAAAAAAACCGAAATAGCCTAAAGGAGTTCCAGCAGAAAACCAGAAGGGTGCCAAAATGTGCATAGTTGATTCAGCCAAAGGTTTCTCCAACGCAAATCCTAATTTGTGGACCTGTTCTTTTATAAATGTACATCCGAAAGCCACCTACATTACAGCAAACCTTGTTTTAACAGAAACAAAGTTGTGTTTACCTGTTCTGAACGAGGCAAAGTGGATAGTCCCTACTTTGCCCAGTCTCCCACATATATGCACACTGGCAGCACCTGTTACCACTCACACACTCAAACTCACACACACAAAATGCAATCGGTATGCGGAATAATATTACAATTCCATTCGCTAAGACCTTGAATCGTTAACGTTTAGTTTGCATGACGTTTTAGAGTGGTGACGCACCTTAATCTTATAGTGACGCGAGAAAAACGAGTTGTTGACAGAGAAGACATCAGTGGGTTCAATTTCCTTGCTTTTGGGCTCCTTGCAAAGGATGCGCTGAGTGGATTTGCTTAAACACAGCGCCGTCAAGTTGCGCATCAGGTCACGTTCAGGAATGCCCGATTCTGCAAGCAACTCTCCAAATGTGTATCGGCTGCGTTGGTTGAAAAGCATCAGAATGACCATCTGAAAGGTAGACACCTGAAGGATATACTTCCGATTCGAAGAGCCCCTGCCAGCACTGGGGTTATCGAGAGAGTCAGAGACTCCAGGACTGCCTGGCAGTCCACTGATAGCGCCACCCGAAGAGGACGAGGCGGAGAAGCGAAGTGAGGAGGGGAGGGACCCGGGTGCCACCTCAAGTTGCGATGGAGTCTCCTCATTCGCAATAACAGGACCGTTGAAGAGGGCTAACAACTCCGCATGACCCAAGTTTGAATGCAAACTTATCTTTCGGCCGGTATGCTTGCTTAAGTAGAAGCTGAAATTGGAGCGATAAAGTTATACACTATGTGGACAGTCACTTAAGTTGATATTTGGATCTTTTGTAAGAAGCATTCCTGAAAGCTGTGTGCCAGTGTGAAAACATCTGCTTAGACCAAAAAGTGCACAGACGATTCTGGGAAAGCAATACATCTTGAGACACAAACCAGTACAAGAAATATCAGGAAGGAGAACCTCGGCTACGTAACGCCCTTTTATTTGAGTCTGTACTTAAAATACTGCACTTGGTAGACTATTGAGACCGGAAAACACGATCTCCATTTTTGCATTTATGTAAAAAGTATACCACCAAAACTTTAACGCAGAGCCTGCAGACAATACCGCGCGAAATTGGTATTTAAATAGAATATCGGCTTGATGAAAATATTGCCACAATCCCCTCTCGCACATAAATGAACCTTAAAGGAGAAATGTGGTGAATGTGTTTAAAGTGAGCTGAAGGATATTTTAGACATCGCATTTAATACTATTACAAATAAATCTCGTAATGAAGTATCCCTTCCACAAGTTCTTAAATATGCAGAACTTGGACAAATTACTAAAACCACGTAGGCGGAGACTTATGCTTAAAAGTGGTTTCGGTTTTCGAATCGAGTAGCTATCTAAGATAGTGGAAAAAAGCCCTCAAAATGCTTACCAACATTTTTAAAGGCAGTCGAGATAAAGTGAGAATAAATTCAGATGCAGGAAATGCCGAAACGAGTGTAATTGATTCGATCATGACATAAAAAGGATTAATAGCCCTGACCTTGAATTCAAGCTCTGATTGGTCACAAAGATGCGCACACAAACATTTCCACATTACCAGCTAAATGCATTTGGTTCACCTGCAACAAGAATTTGCAAAGATTGTGCACAAAAGATTTTGTAAAGTGCTACCATGAACTTAAATGTGCACTTTCGTTGACTGAAGCAAAAAGGTGGCATCAGTGAAGCTAGAGAGCATTACACAATACCCCAATACTTCTGGGAAAGAAGACGAAATGAGTGGTTAATAAAAAATTACATGTACAGACACAACTTAGCAGTTAAGAAAGACCTATCATCAATTGACCTTTCGTTTAGTAACCGCTGCAGCAAAGGGTACTGGTAGATAAGACTGAAGCAAACGATGCGGTGCCTAATTTCACCTTCGTGCTATCAAATGTACCAGAATGCAGACATGTAGCGAAGCAGGGGAGGATAAGGGTTGATATATCAGCAACAAGAAGCCTTTATGAAGAAGGACCAGTTTTTGCGCTCATGATAGGTAGTGAAAGTAACAAACATCAAAGTACTCCCATATTGAATGAAACCAAACTATCGAAGTATTTTGAATTCGATAAAGGAGCCAAGCGCTGTACTTAACACTCGGTCAGTGCGTGGTCGGCATGCGGGTGTGATCGTAAACACGTTCAAAAATATGGCAGTGAGTGCGAGTTCTATTTAAAAAAAACCGTTAACTCAGAACGGAACGCCTTTCAATTTTTGTTAAAGCAGAGCATCACCAAAATACCTCTAAGAAAGCGCATTTAGCTACAAGCTTACTTTGAGTAGACATTGAAAGCATCGACGGCATCCGCGGGGAGCGATACTCGAGGACTTGTAGTTTGAGTTGGCCATAGGCCGATTGTTAGTACACGAACATAAAGATCCAAGTTGAGCGGTGTGTTTGCGGTGGAAAGGATAAACTCCTCCATTAGAGACTTCGAAACAGTCATGTCCTTAAACATGCCCTCCAGTTTGCTCGTGAAGAGACCACCACACTCTGCCATGAGCTTGGCAATCATGCTCTTCTCCTGGTCATCTGACTGACATTTACCTAGCAACAGACGTTTGGCCAAGTGTTGCTTGTAGTACCGCTCAAATATGTCCTTCTCCTGTAAATAGCGAAAGAGTACGGTACACTGATCGAAGATGACATCAACATCATGGTCGCTCATCCCCTTAAAACCACGTCGTAGTTTCTCATCGATGAAGAGAGAGAGAAACTCAGCCGACTTAGGATTCCTGTTAATGAAGAATTCAAAGTCCCCATTCAGTTGGCTGCGAAAGATAGCCTGACGATTAAGGGCGTTTAGTATGTCGTCACAACGACTACGCAGTTGAAGTAGGTCCTGGATGTACTGCAGTGGGTTGTTGCTACCTGTATCACGAACAATATTCTGCCCGCGTTCGCGGACAAAAGCGCTAATACACAGGCTCATGGCTTTAGGACCCTCGGGTACACGCGAAAGAACCTTGTGCATAGTCTTAATGTCATCATAACGTTCGTTTGCCAGGAGATAGGTGAGACCTGAGTTCTCCATATTTACGATGGTGCTGATGTGACGACTAATCAGCTCCTGCTCGAGCACCTTAACAAGCTTCGGACCTGTTGAAGAATCCAAGTAGTGGTAGACGCGAGCAATCTCCTCCTCTATGCGCTGTTCTACTTTATTGATGTAGAGAATCGCAGACGGATTTTGAGCCAGAAAGGCCTCACTTTCGGCCACGTAAAAGTCCCGAGTTTGTCGCAGAAAAGGTTGTTCAAAATCCTCCTGATAGACATCTAATGAGCCGACCCCGAGCTGAACGAGCATCTGACAGGCATCACGAATCTGTGGACGAGAAATTAACTCGCCCTGGCGTTCCCGCTTCACCATATCGAGCAACGTTTTCTGAAGATGCTCTTTTATCACACCATAACGAACAACGAACTGACAGAACATCACCATACCCATTTTATAAACATTATCCACCTTTTTTTGTATTACGTAAATACGATCCATGTAGAGTAGAATATCACGAATCATTGGCATGGCTGTTTGATGATCTTTCCAGCAACTGTTCAGGAAGGAAAGAAACTTGTTGTTGAGATTTTCAACGACTGATTCACGAATTCTTAACATATGCTGCATTACAACCTGCTTGGTCCCGTTATAGAGCAGGTCACCATGCTTTTGCAGGACAAGCGTATATGCGTTCCGATAAAGTTCCTCAAAACTTAATCCAGTATTATTCATCTTTTGAATCTCCAGAATGGCCGCTCTTAACTTCTCCCAAGTTTGAGTGATATGTTGCTCATTGAGAGAAACTGGAAAACTCTTGATGCGCATTTTAGTGTTACCATTATTGGTCATTTTCGCGAAATGCCAATAAAGAACTAAAAGTAAAATATTAGTAGGAAAAGGAAGCAGGTGAAAAATATGTTACTGTAACGAACTATGAATCTATGGCAAGAAAGGTGCAGTTGATAAGCTTAAAAGGTATCAGGAATGCGGAAAAGGAAACGAAACCCACAATCAGTAACTACCGACTGGTGCAGAACCAAAAAGACCGCGAAACATAAAAGGCAACAGAAACCATTAAAACGCAAACGCTAGGAAAACTGCGGTAAAAATACAAGTGCTACACATAGAGAACACGAAACCATTACCAATGCCAAAGTGACAGGTCAGATTGCACGCATAAAATGAGTTTATACCTAATTTTGGTTGTTACAACAAAATAACAGGATCTCTCCACATGGATTATCTGTGTCCAACTTCAGGAGGCTGTGCTTCTAATTAGCGGTATTATCTACAGGGCAAAAATTATGGGCTTAAGGCACGATCCAGGAGATTTGGTAACTTCGTCGATAACTGCAGCAAAGTACTAAATTTTGGTGCAAATTCACTTGGTTGGCATCCCAAGTGACAGCCTTTTAAAAATGTTATGTTTCACCCTACGAATTCTTGATACAAAGCGAACGTTACTATGGATTAAATTGTAGGTGTGCCAGGATCATAGTCGGCAAAGGATTCAGGTATATTTTGTTTTGGTACCTATAATCATACGAACTCCCTTTTTATGGCCAGAAGTCTAATAGTTATATTAAATTTCCATTTTCGTTCAATCTTGATACCCGTCACATTTCATCTCGTAAAGAAAGTTGGTTAGAAATTTTAGCATCACAGTTTCTATTTTGACCAAAATTGCGTTCACTTTTCGATATTGTTGCTCTGCTGCTAGATGAATTGATCGATGGGGCTTGGAGTTGGATTTTTGGTGGAAGATCGTAAATAAGGGGCTATGACGCAATCCATATTTATTCAAGGCATTGAAATTCACCGAAGTAATTGTCTCATACTCTAGTTGGTCAATGCGGCAATCAAATCGGCCACCGATTTTGGGATCTTGTACTGAGGGAATATGCTTGTGTGAATAAGGTTGTCGGATTGAAATTAGAGTTTAACATTTCTAGGAAGGTGGTTTCGACGAGTCCATGCAGGCGTTCTTTTACTCATTGCAAACAAGAAGAAGTCCGGTCATTAAGGCTCGAGTAAAAGACCTTATTTTCTGATGCACTTTTTCAGGCAGTATTGGTAGACATGGAAGAAGGCGTGGTAAAAAGCTTGCTTCGCGGTCCACTTGGAAGTCTCTTCGATGTTTCCCACCTTGTTACAGACTTCCCCGGATCAGCTAACAATTGGTTTGAGCACGATTGCGGTCAACTATCTCTAGGGCTGTCGGTTTTTTTGAACATGGGCAAAAGCACACCAATGAAATTCTTGAAGCCGTTCGACGAAGCGCTGAACTCTGTGACTGTCTTCAATGCTTTTTTATCCTTCATTCAATGGGTGGTGGCACGGGATCTGGATTGGGCAGTTATATAACCAGCCTACTATCGGATAGTTTTCCAGAGGCTTACAAGTAGGTTCACCTTTGCCTATTCCCATTATTTCATCCTAGAATTGTTACCGCAGTTCTCCCCTCTGTCAATGACGATGTTATCACATCTCCATATAACACAGCTTTGGCCATTGCCAAGCTAACTGAGCTGGCAGATTGTGTTATCTCTGTTGAGAACGAGGCTCTTGCGAAGATTGTGAATAAAATTCATAAGGAGCTGGAAGTAAGCAGAGAAAAAAATGAAGTCGCATTGGGGAGTGTAATTTGTGGCAAAGGTGGTGTTGCCGGTGGCAGAGCAAGGGCGTTCGATGAAATGAACAACATCGTTGCCAACATGCTTCTCAATCTTACCAGGTTGATGTTGAAAATTCTGAAGTTGCATATCCTTTATCTTAAACGCTGCTATGGTCAAAGCGGGCGAGCTCAAACAAGTTTCTTACTTAATTAGAGAGGGGTTACCAAGTTCCTATTACCGATTCACATTTATTTACTTCCTTGCTTTAGCTCTGCAAGATTTCCGGGGACGATGAATGTTGACCTGAACGAGCTGAGTATGAACTTAGTTCCTTTCCCACGATTGCACTACCTTATTGCAGCTCAAAGCCCACTTACATCATACAGAAGTATCTCAGCTCCACGAAAGTACGTCATTTTAGCGCATAGGACGCCTCCTTAATAGTTGCTCATTGAAGTGAGATTTTGAAGGGTTAGCCCTTGTCAGTGTGTTGTAGTACTCGTCTCACGCTGTCTGGCCCTGTTTTCATTTGCTCATTGTATCAAGGATTTAGCAGACTCCCTTCAAATGCACAGGGGCTCAATTACAAATGACAATCATGAGCGAGATAGTCCTCCGTTCTCAAAATAATAACTCCTCTTCTTCGAAGCTTACATTACAAGATGTTAAATTAAAAATCGCCCTTAAGTGCCGACCAGATCTACCAGGATGTCTATTCTCGTGACTACCAACTCATCTCCACCAATCCACGTGAGCACACTTTCTTGGCCACTTCCCTCCTCCTCCGTGGTCGCGATTTCGCCCCTGACCTCCGTCGTAACATTGACCGGTAGGCGCCACTTACCCTCTCCTCTCAGGCTAACTCCTCATTCTGATAGGCTGCAGGGACAATTACGTTTCGTGGCTTGGAACAGTGAGGGCTGGAAGGTGGGTCACTGTGCAACACCACCGGTGGGTCAGCAAACAGCGCTCCTTGCACTCTCCAATTCCACTGCCGTTGCAGTGCCGTTCACATCGGTGCTCAACCGTCTGCGTATACTTTTCCGCAAGAAAGCGCATCTTCATCACTACCTATCCGTCACTGGCTTTGAAGCAGCATCTGCTCTTGAAAACGCCTCTGAAAGTCTAAACAGTCTCATTGGTGCCTACAAATTCTTTGATGCTCCTAATGCCCTGGATAAATTAAGTCGCGAAAGTAGCATCGATGTACCGGCATTCAAGATTGCTGATTGACAATGATATTGTATGCATTTGTGCTCTTTTATATGTTGTTTACGTTCATATTCGGACAATCTATACGAAACGTCTAAGATGAATAGAATTGTAGTATCTTAACTGTATGCTTCATTACGTACTAATTACGATAAATTGTCGGAAACTTGCGAAGTATCGCTCAGCTCTGTCTCAAAGCATCGCCGAATTGATAACGAGTTTTTCCTGCCATCTAATTGCGAATTTCCATCCTTTTTGCTCAATCGGTACAAGTCAATGTCAGATTCCGCAGCTGTAGTGTACCAACTGGTAAGCGGTGAATCGGAGAGCAGGTAGTGTTACCGCGTTGATCTGTGCAATGGTGTTCAATTCTTGCCCACATGCCTTACCTCCTCACTCGCCTAAACACGGCCCACTTCTCTCCTATTAAGAAAATTTTGGTTCTCGGCTTTTCCCGCGCTCGTACTGATACTGATTGTATGGGCGCAAATAAAAGAAGTTGAAGGGTGTAAAATGAGTTAACCAAGTGTATGGAAAGAGGGATTGACTACTAATGATCTGGCTTCCCAGGAGGGGGAGTGGAATGGTCCTCAGGAGCAACCTTAGTAGCAGAAATAGTAGCCTCAGTCTTGTCGAAAGCCTCCTGGGAGACGGAGTCTTCCACTTCTTCCACGGCTTCTACTTCGGGGATGTAGAATTGGAGCATATTTTGCACCCCATGTTTCAGTGTAACTGTGGAACTGGGGCAGCTGGTACAGGAGCCCTGCATCTTCAAGTACACCACACCGTCTTTGAAGTCCTATGTGCGCGGCCCGCCAGTGGGTTAGTGAGGGGAGAAAGGTATTAATATTAAAAAATGCGGGATTTTATAGTTTTAATCGCTTTCAATATGTCCGAGACTCCGGCACCGCCTCATCAGAGCTTAGGATGATCTAACCAGCTAAAGTAACTTCGCTACAAGATTTAATTGCGCTTCCAAATAATGTCTGGCATTGCAGCCAGTAGTTAACATTTACAGAGTAGGCAGGATTGAAGAGGTTACGATGTAAAGCAGTTACGGTTTTAGTTTCATCAGTCGCGCCAGAAAGAAACTTGAGCACTACTGTGGGAGTTCTAGGAGTTCTATCATTGGCGCTCTATAAAAATACTTTGCGTTTGTAGTGAAAAAGGAAATGTTCTACCTGGTGGTGATAAGACAACGCCAAATTGGCCCAACCCCCTGTAACTCACTGTGCATTCTCAACCACTGAGTGAGTAGCAAATGCTCTTGTGGTGGCGTCTTACTGCTAGCTCATCAGGGGGTCGTAAATTTTTTATTAAGGTGCTTTTGCTCCAAGGTATTGAGTTAAAGAGGTTAAGCAGACCTTAGGAGTGTTATTCTGGTTTCTAGACGATCACTTACGACAAAGGTGATGTCACCACCATCTTCCTGAACCGTCGGTCGGATGCGACTATCCAACAGCTCCTTTATCATCGATACAGTTGTATCCTCGTCCTCCTCCCCTCCGACATCTAAGAGGATGAAGTGCCTTTGATGTTAGAATAAGTGTATATTCTATAGAGAATCAAATAGACAATAGTGACAGCTCTCAATGGTAAAATATCAAATGGTTACACGATCGATAACTCAAGTGGCTGTAAATTAATCGAAAGTTTAGACACGCCTGAAGAGTTGACATAATCAAAGGAAACCATCTAAGATGGTAAAACCGAAGCAAGACCTCAGTGTTCGGGCAGCACCTGCACCGTCCAAGGTCCCATGCTCAGATATAAAGCATAAGTCTAGAAGATCCCAGTTTCCACGAATTTAGTCGTTAGAATACTAGGTATCAAAGATATGACCTACAAAATGTGGGTTTTCAAAATGAGGTCATTGGAACGTGAAAACAGGAATGCCGCTCCTCACTGGACGCATAAGCTGTGCCCAAACGAAGTCGGAATGTAAGATTGGAAAATTATTATCAATAGGTAAAGCGAGAACCGACCCAGTACCAAAGCTGTAAAAATCTCAATTCCAACAAGATATAAAACTCGTAGCAATCCACTCTTGATGCTTGTAAGCGGCGGTGTATCCATCCAGTTAAAAGTCAATAATCGTCTGGAAGTTATACATATTATGAGCCGATAACACAAGAGTACAAAGATACGATACTATAACTATGAGGCAAACCTTCCTCATGAATCTCGTTGATAACAGGAGTTCCAGCAGTAAAGAAGTCCATCAAACAGGCGAATATGTCGGGGTTGATTACAGTCCAGTCGGTGTCAGCGGTTTTGGTGATGGTCACAAAATCGGGCCCAAGAAGAACGCCAGAAACACCCCCTATTTGAAAAAGGTTCCTAGATAAAAGAAGAAGAATGTCATCACGCAAATTACTTCGCCAATGGAGAGTTAATTGTGCTAGATTTGGTTTGAAAATCCATGGTACCTGTACCCAGTACGGGCGTGCCTGGAACAAACTTACGACTGTTCGGATTCGGTGTATCACTCCATTGGATGAAAAGAGACCTCAGTGCTTTAATTTGTTACTAATATGGCAAAGATGGACGTGTCCTTACTTCGATAAGTTGGTAGAGACTTAATAAATGTAAATAAATTCTTAGGCAATTTGAACATGCCGATCGACCTATACAATTGGTCAGGCCAAACAGTTGGCAAGACAAAAACCTCGACTAAAGAATTCAATCCCAACGTCCGTGTGGGTTTGAAGTCAGTATCTATCAACAATTAAAATGCAGAGTCACTTTAAAGTAAATGTAAGTTCTCAAAGGGAGTTTACCATTTTCTAGCACTTTATAGGAGTATTGAAGGTAAGCTCCTTGGTTTATGTGAGAACCACATAACACAAGACTACCATAGTCAATGATTAGACAAATTAAGTTTGCGCTAAATTTTTTTGGATTTCTCTCGAGCGTTACCACATAAATATGTCACTGTATCAGGGCGTTCGAAAAAGTAAATGCCTAAAAAGGTTTTGAGGCTTTGAAACAACACTTAGCTAAATGGCAACGAAAACAGTAACTTACAAATTTGACCTAATCCTAATCCTTATTAACATACCAAATTTTCAGGGATGGAAGGCGATGGCTCAGCTTAAGTTATTAATGACCGTCTTGCCAACTTTTTTATAAGCCAGTCGTTCATCCACACCGGAAGTTTATATTACCAACATCGGATACGAGTGGGAAAAAATTACTTTAAGTTTCGGTAATAGTTGTACCATCCCGAGGCTTCCCATATGGTAGTAGAAAGCATAAGCGAGAGTGAATACATGTGTTCCGAAGACGGCAGGGTAAATGGGGCCTGTTTGTGGCCTGAAGGCCAGCCCATGTGTACAGGGGCCAAACAAAGTCTCAAGTGACCGTCAAACGCCAGATAGTCACATAAACAAAGCATTACACTGTCCCTCTCTTCTTTTGAGCGACACTCCCCTTTGGTACACCTCCCGCGCCAGCCGTCACAACATATTCAGTACTACAAGAAAGCACCCAAGATCCAATCGCTCCAGTCGAAGAACAACACGAGAGCGAGAAACCGTACCTGGTCTTCTCGGCAGCTTCAACTGGATCTGGTGTTATGTTCGCTCTGATAACCAGATTCGGGGCCGCGTACACCTGCTGGCCATCGATTTCTTCCAGGAATAGACGGTAAAAATCTGGCCTAAAACATATATGTTACAGGGGAAACGGGATGAGCCACTGTCCCGTAGTTAAGGAGAACCGTGGCGTCATTTCCGACACCTAAACACGGATTTTGTATGGGAAATTCCAACGCGAAGATTTTCCAGATGGTTCACGGCGGTGTCGCTTCGGTTGTTAATAGCTTGTCTGTGGAACACGGGCATAATGTGAAACCAAATGCCTACGTCCGTCTAAATCCTTTCTTTATGAATGATTCTGGGTTTCGCCTGCCACTAAGACAAATGCGACTCCTTCAAAGTTACGTCCTCTTTTCGTCTGTATCTTCATCTATTGCACTTCGATAGAGTCAGACCTCCTTCTACGTACGTATAGCTCATGATTGCCGATGCACAACGCCAAAATGCGCTTATTAATCCTAGATTGTCTCACTAAAAGATAGAATTCCTTTGCAGTCTTGTCTGCTGGTCGGATTATAAAGTTTTTGTCGTGAAAAGAGAGGTTTCGACTTTTCGGCCAAGGGAACCCGATTTTGGGGTATCTGCATGTATTGAACCAGTGCATCATCAAATCGAATCCCCGCTCGTCGACTTGTTCGAAATGTTTTTTTTTTTTCTTGGAAATCAGTCGATTAATTGGCAAAATTTAAGCAACGCAAACGTAGAATGTCAGTAAAGCAGCGGTGTTTGTTGAACAACAGGTTTTCCCGGACACTATGTCGCTTTCAAAAGTACCTTACACTTAAAAGTCGTTAAAAAAATGTCGGGTTCACTTTCCGCTGCCACCAGTGTAGCGTCCCGAGGCTTCCCATAGGGTGGAAGAAGGCATAAGTAAAGGTGAATACATGTATTCAGAAGACGACAGGGCAAATCGGGCCTGAGCGTAGCCCGAAGGCCAGCTCACGTGTTCAGCAGTCAGACAAAATTTCAAGCGACCGCCAAACGTCAGGTAGTTACATAAACAAAGCATTACAATAGTTTCAAACAATTTCTTAACCTTGAATTCCTAAGTATATAAGAAGAGATATAGGTAGAGCAGTTAATGTCTCTGTAGGACCACCCAGCCTACCCCCTGGCCCCTGAACCTCTGACTTCGTAAGAGGGCTGTCGGGAAGGGTTATTTGGCATCATGTACAGAAAAAGAAAAATGGCACCGATGAAATGATACGCCAACGTCACCTCGCGGATGCCTCTTCAGGCTCCTTAAGAAATCAAATTTGCTTTCGATTTGCTTAACCATCCCTCCTATATAAAGGCAGCTTAAACACATTTGTACCTATAACAGTCTCCATTGTTTTTTTTAGTCCAGACATCAATTCTCTCGTACCTTATGCGCTAACTAACACAAAATGGTCACGAGAATGCCGAGAGCTCTGATGCTGAGTGCATTAAGGTCAGCGTCCCAGAACTCCCTTGAGCGCAGTGTGCTGGGAAAATGCGCATTGAGGCGTCAATACAAGGCAGTCAAATCAAGATCCAACCAAACTATTACCATGTTTCGCAACATAAAATGGACTTTTGGGTAGCTACCATAGGAACAGAGCCGTAAAAAGAGGTAGCTGGGCATGACATTTACTAAAGTAAATAACAACTGCCTTATTCTGCCCTCGAAATTCGCTCAATTTGCTCTCTACTTAATCCTATTATCAGGTTTTGCACTACTTTTCAATGCCTCAACTTATCTTTAAGTTGTTAGTAATCTTACAGTCTACATGCGTAGGAATAAGGTTGTCAGTTTTCATAAAATCGCTACTCTCCTGCAATGTCAGTTATTTAAAGGACACTTTTTCCAAGGCATAGATATTTCTGTTTTGTTTCCACTTGTTCTGCTCTTAGTGATTTGAGATGATCGTCAGAGAAACCTGATGTGCCCAATATCTTCCTCAGTATCAAAACCATCCCATAGATTGAATGTTAGGCGATTTCCGTAGGGTGAAATCATTCGATAGCCCTGACATTTCACCTAATCATCATTAGGAAAGTGAGGTGGGGACATCTCACAGCAATTAGCGCTTGAATAATTCACTCGGTTTAAGTGAAGGTTGCCGCTCTAGCGCCCCCAGTACCTTGATGCAAATGGCGAGTTCCTCGAATTGCCTGTCTACAAATGCAAAGGCTGATGCGAAGATCATGACAGAGTTATTAGACGCAATACAGTGCGATCATCTTTTAATTAAATTTAAATTACTAGCAGGACAGAAGTTGGCTACGAGGGTCAGGTTGTCACAACGGACCCAAGCCCTGGAATCACGGCATACGCTGACAAGGGATACGCTTCCTCGGTTATGCGACCGCTGCAGTCGAAAATTACGAAAGGTTTAAAGGAGCCGTCTAATCCAAGTGAATTGCATTCCACACCCATCGGGAGTCATGTTAATTTACTGAATGCTTTCGACTGCATTCGTCTCGGCTTTCACATGTACCACTAATTTCTTTTGCTTTTGATGCCCATTGATGATGCAGTTGACCGACAAAATGAGCCTGATGGCAGGCTGTTTGGGGAAGGAAGTTTTCGCAATTCCAATCAAGGCACCGTTCCATAGGTCTTGGGATTGAAAGTGTAGCGTGTCGTCGCCCAAGATATGTATCATAGCTGACATCCAAAATTTAGTTTTATATTTCCCGAGGATGTTGAAAGGGAGGTTAGGGCTTGAGAATCCTGTCGTCCAACAACGGGAGTTCAGTGGTCTCCTCCACTGACCCAGATGCAAGCTTCTTGTCATTTAACCCTTTCTCAGGCTGATGCGTGGGTGTGCTGATGTGTGAGATGACGACCTGCTGCTAAGTGAATGACAGCCAAAGGAGAGGCAGGAAGTGGGATGATAATTAATCCAACTCTTCACATCTTAAAGTATAGTCCAATCATGCCTCATTGTTGTCACAAAATACTGGTTTGCAGCAGTAAATTGGGAATAGGAAAGACTCTTTATGGTTGCGACTCAACAGGAATGGTCTAATGTTAAGAGCACTCACAAGACCACTGCGTAGGGCAAATTCATCCCTGCCTAGACCACCAAAAGGTACTTCAAAAGCAGTAGGCTAGTCAAGGTGGTCTCACATCGAAGTTCCGCACCTGCAGGCCATAGCATGGCTAAACGTAAGACAAGTTTTGGCACCAAAGTGAGTTGTACCATTGGTGCGTCCCGTGTAGGCTTCAAATGGAATTCCTGCCATGACCAAGTGTTGGGAGTGTTGTCGAATATTCGTGGCTCTCGTGCAAATCAGACGAACGACAAAGAGGAGAGCATTTTGCTGGCAAGTCAGTATCATTTAATGGCTGTTGTTAAGACACAACAGCCCTGCCCTTATTTGCGAAGACAAACGTCGCATTTAGCCATAAAAACCGCGACTAAACAAGTCGTGAGATTGCCACCATCTAACTGGTTAAAAAATTGACAAACTGACTGTTTAAATGACTGAATGACAACTTGAAAACAGGCCCACCAAAAGGCGGAAAGATTTGTGGATGACATAGGTTTAAAAGTTGGATGCTGTCCTCTTCCTCACCTCTCCCTCCACCATCTCTACACCACAACGAGGGGGAGAGCTCTTGATTGACAGTTGGGACCACCCCACTAGCTGAGGATGGATTGATGGGTGAATGGATAGTTGACACGTTGGATTGACGGGTTGCAATTCAAGTATGAAGGTTGGATTATCCACCAATTTGATTGTCCAAACGCATTCACTTTAACTGCTCACAACCACACTACGGATTCAGAGATTTAACGCGACTTGTTTCGCTTCTTTCCACTGAGAATTTGCAATAATTAAAGCTATACGAAAAGGATATTTATGCAATTTTTTTTTCGGTGAGCTCAAGAAACTAATCGGGATTCAATGGTTTCAGCAACTTCTTTGTGGACTAGGCGAAACATAAACAACTGTAAACCCGAAGGTGAATTTTGGAGGTCTTTTTTAAAAAAAAAGCTTTTAATGGGTTACCCTGCTTAAAACTCATCCGATCCGACTTAGCAACCACCTGTCAAAAGGAAGTGCCATCCAACTTATGCCAGAACGTCAAGTCCGCACTAAGGGTTCGACAGACGACACATGATGAGTCGAATGTGGGGAAGAGGAGTGCAGCACTGCAGTTGGAGACAGCAGAATGCTTGCAGGTTATCACAGCAGAATTCCCGAGGGAGGCAACTTTTGCGCTCTTATTGCTACTGTGGTCTGGAGATCTGGGCCGTCTGACACAGCTGAGTTGACTAATCTTCCAAGTGCCCATAGAAGGCAGGATTTTGACATGGACGTAGTTTAGCGGGGTAGCTTTATAATGCAAGCAGAGTTTGCGAAATTGCATTAACAGGATGCCCAGTATGTTCATTGACAAGGTGACGCATGCGTGACATGGGCTCTCTATCAGTTTATGACATCTGTAACATCACTTAATCTGGTCCTTACCCCATGTTAGGCAGATTTTTTAGCTTTTGACGAAGAAGGAAAAATCAGTAGCACTATGGAGGTTGAGTTGAAATTTGAATAGAAATTTCGACGCACCTATGCAATGGATGTTGGTTTTTCCACTTCGAATCCATTAGCCATTTTGAGTTTGATGGGCATCAAAAGCGGAAGAGTGTCTGAGTTCGCATCAACAATTCCTCTGCTTGCACAATTAATGCCACCGATTGGTTGCCAGATTTCTTTCACAATCACTTCACCATCTACGAATTAGCCTCTGTTTTAGCGTGAATTGAAAAAGAGGTAGCAAGGGCACGACTTTTTCGCCTTCCCTGGAGGAGACCATGCACTAACAAGGGTAATTTATCTTACTCTCTGCTAGTGTTGTAGTATGTGTGTGTGTGTGTGCTAACGAAGCTCTCGCC